AATCCTCCATATGTGTACATATTAATGTATATATATATATATATATATATATTAAATATTAACATCATAACGATAACAAGCACGGTGTACTTATATATTTAGAACTTGATTATTGATACTGTATCTGTAAACATTTCAAGCTCCCCTAATTACAGGGCCTGGACTAACATTTAGGATCCTTCATGGTATCAAGAATCATATGCCAAGAATATATTGCAAAGTAATGTCTTTTGAATAAAGAATTGCATGAAAGGTTTATGTATAATGTAAGAAATGAAATTATATAGATTGCCTAGTACATCCCAAAACTGACTGACATTTATAGCTACAGATATGACATACATGGTACTAATAGTGGAAAGAATACAACTTGTGATGTCCTATTAACACCAACAAATGCAAGTAAATACAACTGTTGTATGTAAAAGAAAGTATGCTAAAAGGATACAAAGTTAGCAATTGAATAACCTCCGAAAAACATCTTCAGAAGAATAAAAATGTGTTAAAATTAATAAGATATTATACCACTTTTATATAAATCTGTTTCTACAAGTATAAATTATCTCTCACATTGTCATATTGTGAAATTCATACATATAATTAACTGGACACGCTTATCTAACCTGCAGGTATATGGGTATTTTTGTTAGATAATATTTTATCTCAAAGAAACATTTATGAAATGATTTTCTTGTTGATTGTATGTTAGTTTATCACAAAGTAATTTGCAAATAAGTATAAAGTGTTTTCTCCCATTTATTTTCTAGCAAACTTTTGTAAGTGAAAACAACAAAATATCAATTTATATAGAACCTTGTTTTTAGTGAAGTTGATAGGTTTGATTCAGAATCAAATGATTTCAGCAGTATAAACTTATAACCTTCTTTTTTTTATGTTAAATGTTACCAGAGCTCATTGCCTGAAAAAATAAACACAAATTAAATTTAAAAAAATGAGCCTTATGAAAAACTGTATTGATGGTTTTGTGATTTCAAGCACATAAATGTTTAAGTCTGAAATTATAAGTTCATTACAAAATAAAGGTAAATAAAATTTTTTGATGGTTTGGTGTTGAGTTTTAAATTTCAAAATTGTTTATGCAAGTTCTTTAAATGAGACTGTAACTTTATAAATACATGTGGAAATAATAGATTTAGGATATGAAAGGATGCAGTTGAACTCACAGTATAAATTTTTCTATCATTTCATTTGTCTCCTTACTTTTTTATGAAATATAACCATATGCAAATATGTCAATGAAACTGGATGAAAAACTTTGACTTTGATACAATTTAAAAATAAAATATTTTAATACTTAATGCATATGAACAGTAAATTTTTGAACAAATAGTTATTAAAACATTGTAATACATACAAGTTAAATATTTTTTAAAACAGAAAAATCTTACCTGCTAGAATATAATGGAGATTAACATCCTGTTGTTTTCTAAGAGAGTTTAGGTATCGAACCTGTACTGCTTTTTTAATTTCCACATGAGACAGACGTAATACATCTCCACTGATGGTGGAAATAAGTAGACTAGATTACAATCTGTCACTTTTTAAACAAATCACATTCAATACAAAATTATTTAAAAGAAACAATAATATGTAATCAGTAAGAGAATTCATACCAGAAACATGTGAAGATCAACATTAATAAATGTGGCAAATAAAGTTTTCTTTCACTTGATGTCAAAATAAAATAAAATAGACCATTTATCAAAGTTTTCAGATCAAAATTATTTATATGTGCCCAAACCATGAAACAGATGTAAACTTCTACAGTGCACAATTTAGAAGCATGGCAGCATCAAAAAGAAATCAATTAAATTAAAAACACAATAGTACTAGAAAGCAATCAGTTAGAAACACAGCAGCATCAATAAACAATCATTTAAAAGCACAGCAGCATCAATAAACAATCATTTAAAAGCACAGCAGCATCAATAAACAATCAT